TTTGGGGTGATTTTGGGTTGGTTTTGGGGTTATTTGGGGGATAATTTTTGGCTGATTCGGGGCTGATTTTGGGCTGATTTTTGGGGTTGATTTTGGGCTGATTTAGGGATAATTTTGGGCTGATTTTGGGATAATTTCGGGGCTGATTTTGGGATAATTTTGGGCTGATTTTGGGATAATTTGGGGCTTATTTTGGGATAATTTTGGGATAATATTGGGCTGATTCTGGGATCATTTTGGGCTGATTTTGGGATAATTTTGGGCTGATTTGGGGCTGATTTTGGGATAATTTTGGGCCGATTTGGGGCTGATTCTGGGCTGATTTGGGGCTGATTTTGGGCTGATTTGGGGCTGATTTTGGGATAATTTGGGGGGTGATTTTGAGATAATTTTGGGATAATTTGGGGGCTGATTTTGGGATAATTTGGGGGCTGTTTTTGGGATAATTTTGGGGTGATTTTGGGATAATTTTGGGCTGATTCGGGGATCATTTTGGGCCGATTTTGGGATAATTTGGGGCTGATTTGGGGCTGATTTTGGGATAATTTGGGGGCTAATTTTGGGATAATTTTGGGGTGATTTTGGGATAATTTTGGGATAATTTGGGGGCTGATTTTGGGATAATTTGGGCGCTGATTTTAGGATAATTTTGGGCCGATTCGGGGATCATTTTGGGCCGATTTTGGGATAATTTGGGGGCTGATTTGGGGCTGATTTTGGGATAATTTTGGGCGGATTTGGGGCTGATTTTGGGATAATTTTGGGGTGATTTTGGGATAATTTGGGGCTGATTTGGGGCTGATTTTGGGATAATTTTGGGGTGATTTTGGGATAATTTTGGGATAATTTGGGGCTGATTTTGGGATAATTTGGGGCTGATTTGGACTCCCCAGGCCCACGAGCGTGTCCTGGCCGCGCTGCGGCCGCTCCCGAGCCGAAGCTTCCGGAACTTTCGGGACCTGGCGGCCGCCGTGGTGGAGAGCGAGGGGGTGGTGGTGCCCACCCCGCTGGGCTTCTGACACCCAAAAACACCCAAAAACACCCCAAAAACACCCAAAAACACCCCAAAAAACACCCTAAAACCACCCTAAAATAACCCTGGGCTTCTGAGAGCCAAAAACACCCAAAAACACCCAAAAACACCCCAAAATACCCCCAAAACCACCCTAAAACACCCCTGGGCTTCTGACGGCCAAAACCACCCAAAAACACCCAAAAACACCCCAAAATACCCCAAAAACCACCCTAAAACCACCCTAAAATAAACCTGGGCTTCTGACGGCCTAAAACACCCAAAAACACCCCAAAAACACCCAAAAACACCCCAAAATACCCCAAAAAACACCCTAAAACACCCCTGGGCTTCTGACGGCCAAAACCACCCAAAAACACCCAAAAACACCCCAAAATACCCCAAAAACCACCCTAAAACCACCCTAAAATAAACCTGGGCTTCTGACGGCCTAAAACACCCAAAAACACCCCAAAAACACCCAAAAACACCCCAAAATACCCCAAAAAACACCCTAAAACACCCCTGGGCTTCTGACGGCCAAAACCACCCAAAACCACCCCAAAAACACCCAAAAACACCCGAAAATACCCCAAAATACCCCAAAAACCACCCTAAAATAACGCTGGGCTTCTGAGAGCCAAAAAACCCCCAAAAATACTCAAAAATACCCAAAAAACACCCAAAAATACCCCAAAAATACTAAAAAAAATCCCCAAATTTTTGTGGAAATTTTCCTTCAATTTTGAATGAATTTTCCTTAATTTTTGAGGGAATTTTCCTTCCATTTTTATGGAATTTTCCTGAATTTTCAGGGAATTTTCCTCCACTTTTGAAGGAATTTTCCATCAGTTTTGACGGAATTTTCCTGACATTTTCAGGGATTTTTTCCTCAATTTTGTGGAAATTTTCCTTAATTTTTGAAGGAATTTTCCTGAAATTTTGATGGAATTTTCCTTCATTTTTCAGGGAACTTTTCACCACTTTTGAAGAAATTTTCCCAAAATTTTGACTGAATTTTCCTGCAATTTTCAGGGAATTTTGATGGAATTTTTCAGGGAATTTTCCTTAACTTTTGATGGAATTTTCCTTCAATTTTTATGGAATTTTCCTGAATTTTCAGGGAATTTTCCTTAACTTTTGATGGAATTTTTCTTCAATTTTTCAGGGAATTTTCCATCAATTTTCAGGGAATTTTCCTGTAATTTTCAGGGAATTTTCCATCAATTTTTATGGAATTTTCCTGAA